TATTTGAATATAATCCAACTTTTCATATCAAGCAAATGATTTAATTAATATGATATCCAGATTTTAATTCTTTCCTATATTACACAGTTTAATACGGTGTAAATTTCATTCGTCTATTGAATAACAATTCCGATTGGTTGAAAATGGGTAAAATCTTAAAAAAAATTCAACTGTATCACCATGATGAGTGTATAAACCATTTAGAAAAGATAAATATGGATATATCAAAACAAATGAAAGTAATTCAACTCTACTGAACCGAAATTGTTGTGAGATAACCAGTAAGATCCAAATGATGAAATATAAATAATGCAACAACAACAAAAACATGAAAACCTCCGTAGTCAAACAAAAAGGTAACATAAAAAGATCCATAAAAGACAGAGGAATGCAAAAGAAGACAAAAGTGTTATGAGGAAGGAAAAAAGCTTTCGGATCAATCAAATAGATGAAACGGAAAAACAAAAGAAAATGAAAGGAAAACAATAAACTAGACATTTGAAGCACATAACATATAAAGTTTCTGACTATTAACATAAATCAAATCCCCTTCCAAATTCCTCAAGATACATAAGCAGTCATATTATCGACGATCGTACAACTTTATCTCCCTCCTTTCATCACTCCACACTATACAAACCACTTGCCACATCCACCTCAATTTGACAAATAGCAAAATCACTTCAACTCTACTACACACAAACAACACGCCTCATACTACTTAATTCAAAATACAACTACTTATTGCATTATTACTCACAACATCATATCTATGCACACGTCTCTCAGTATACGCGCTGACACGTATATATATGCACAATCATTGACTCACTCTAGAGTGTGTTATTATTAACGAAGTATGTTATATCCTCGTCACTTATCACTTATACTTGTAAGGTCGGGGAACCATTGCTATTCTCATGAAGCGAAGTAAGAACGCTAAAACTAGTAAGAATGAAGATTTATTAGCCTTAAAATGAGACGACGATCCCAGTTGAAAACACACTCATTTTATATTGATTGTATAGCTATTTTCATTATTAATTAGGATGAAATCACACATATGGAAAGTATCAAAGGTTATGACATTACGTGATGATGCATGTCATGCTGAACATAGTTCACCTTACTTTAATACAAGAATATCACACTCAAATAAATTAGTGCTGTGATGAATGAAAAACAAAGACAAATATTACTCTGAATAGTCATCATCGTGAATTAAAAAGGCAAACATAAGTAATGGTAACCAAAAATCACAAAGAACCAAAATTTCATTTTGCCTTTTAATCCCATCACATCACCTCCCGTTCTTTTAACTGAATATGTAGAAACAGTTTTCCGTAGAGGGTCCATTCGAAAGGTTTTTATTCGTTTTTGTAACAAACGGAACCTTCTCGATTGGTCGCACGGTTGTGTTCCAAGTTCCTGTTGGATTTTTGTTTTGTTAGCGGATATCCAGTTAGTATATTTCCGGACAAGTTTTTCAACTCCTGAGTAGCTATAACGCTTTTAAAACCTGATTACATATGATTACTATGTCTCATTCCCATGAATTACCCCACTTTTACTTCATACCTAACTGCTTCTGTTCTTCTGTTTACTGTTCCACTTTCTAGCTGTGGTCTAGAATCGTGGAAATTCCATAACAAAACTGCTTGAGCTAGAAGAAATATTCTAGTTTTGACACGGCGCTGTTTAGTGCACTGCGGCTTTTTTATTTTCATTACGTTTGACCTTGATATCAGATTTTGTAACACAATCCGAATTGTTTACCCAAACATGCTTTTTTTCCGGTGATAGTCCGTTAATTGTCTCTGGACTTGCTGTTGAATGGTAACTTAGCAAGAACTTTTCTATTATTTCTTTTACCATCCCCTCCCCTTCCTCTTTTCGAATAGTCGTTTTTAATGAATCACCGAAACGCTCCGCCTAACCATTTGATTGAGGGCGACATAAAGGAAACCAAACATGAGCGATACTGTTTTCTTTATGGAATTCATCAAACTGGGTTGAAGTGAGCTGTGTTCCACTATCAGAAACTATAGTATATGGTAGTCTGAAACGGCTAAACACTTCGTAAGCTTTTGTATCGTGGCGACGGTAGTCACACAGGACATTATGAAGACTTTTGGCCATTTTGAAAATCCGTCGACGATAATTAGGAATCATTCACCCTATATCAAGGCGTGCCTGGTCATGGTCGAGGCTCATCTTTAATGGGTAGTTTAGATGACTGTGCACAATTGTAGCGTCGAATTTCTGTTTCTTTAATATATTTATCAATATTTGGCCAGTATACGTAATCACGGGCTAGTGACTTCATGCGACTCATGCCAGAATGAGAATAGTATATAAGCTTCAGGCCTAATCCCGAAGATGATTAAGAGTGACAACTCGATCACCAAACTGGATGCATTTATCAACAATTAAGAGGGAGCCACTCCTTCTGTGGAACAGATGCAAGTCTTCTGACAAACGATATGAGGAAGTTAGTGTATTAGTTTACAAACTATTTGATTGTTTTGTTTCTCCCTAAAGGAGTATCCGTGAAGCATGAAAAATGACCGTCTCCGTACCATCGGGAAAAACATATAGGATAATAGCTCCAATGCTCTAATTTGGGGCGTCCGCCACTACGACAATTTCTAATTTAGGGATATAATGGATTTATAGTAAATCAGAATAAAATATTTATTTTATTCTGTCAAACGATCTTCGCATTTCTTTGACTCTCACCATGTCGCACCATTTAACAAACGTTGATTCAGTGGGTGTCTCAGTTTATGTAGAAATAGGTCATGAGCTAGAATGATCGCAGCTTGCCAACATTTGGGGTACTGGCATTCGACTAATCTCACTGGTATTATCTGAGTTGGTTTCACAACCGTCTTTGTCGATCACAAACTCGAGATACTTGGTGGTTTGTTTGAAGAAATTGCACTAATAATCACGTAATTGTAAGCTAGACTGTTTTAATTTTGACAGGACACTATCAAGTCTACGGAATAGTTCCTCCTCAGTAGGTCCAGTAAAAATGATGTCGTCAGTATATCATCCTTTTACCGTAAAACCCAGATAAGAGGGGAATTCGATGATTTTCCCAAAGTCGGTAAAAATTGCGGGAAGAAAATCTAATGTTATTCGGATACGAGACAAAGGATGCTGTATTTCACGCCACTTTTACAACTAGCTAACACTATGCATGAAGCTCAGACTTTCGTAGTAGTGAACGTTAAGTATAATTCTGTTTTCCTGGAAATTTCTCAACTAAACCAATCTTTAAAAATTAACGGATAAGGATAGATTGGTTGTGTTAAACTTTTGAAGTTAACATAAACTTAATAATTTAATTAATTGAAACGTCTTTACAACATTTCCGATCTGTTTGCATTTATTACACATTAATACTTACTTTCCCCTGTTTTGTACTTTGTCCGAAAATTCTTGTATCATTCGATCTAGTGAAAACAATAAGGTTACGTTTCATCTATTGAGTTAACATATAAAGTGACAAAAACTCAACTAGTTTTCAAAAACGTGACAAATATTGCGTCTTCTATCGTACAATATGTATCGCTTATCGCTTTTGCTAATAGTTCCCGCTGTTTCTGGAGCTTAAAAATACATCGTGTTTCTCTGTGCTAACCTCCTGTTTTATTAAGACAAGGTTTTTGCTGTATCCTAACTTCATTGTTGTATGTAGCTTCGGGAAAACATACAATTCGAAGGATTCTTGGCCATACTTGGATTACACACCTTCATACACTCTGTCGTCATCTGGTTGCTTGAAGAAATATAAGTAATTTAATGACCTGTAAACGAATTTCAAGTGAAAAGTTACTATACGCTATCTTTGTTTCTTTTATATTCTTCTGCTATTATGTTTGAAACACCTTTCAGCAAGGCTAAAAAATCGACAGTGATGTACATCTATGATTAAATTTTTGTATTGTGGCTAGTACTAAAGTACATAATGTGCATTTAGTTTTAAATTAGTTTAGTTGTGAATTTACCTGCATCTCAAAGTTAAGTTATACTCAAAGACTCTAGTTCAATGCCTGTTGCTAAAACCCTCATCACTAAACTACTGAGTTAAGACAATCGCCAACATGTTTGACGAAAATAGCATTGATTTCTCATTCTTGAAGTCTTGTGTATGACCTTTCTTGTTGTTAAGCCATCAATTCAGATAGAGTCTCATTGTGAAAATCAACATAAAAACGCGTGCACACTTAGCTGGGGAGTTTTTTTTAACAGAAACTAAAATATCATCTGGATTTTGTTGTTGTCATGATTCTAGTTATAAGCTAAGACTTTAAACTAGATGAAATATCATGGTGCTTACTTGAGGGATTCACTTGTCAAAAAAGACTAAACAAATGGTTGGCTGAATCTCAAAAGCAACACACATGACATTAATAACAATATGCATTTATAGTTCTATTGAGTGTAATAAGCAGGTCTACTTGCCAAGAAATCGGTTAGCAATATATTAGCAACATTTATACCATAGAACTTGAGTCGTAATAAGGCTTTTTTATAATTATGTTAACTCTTCACGAGCTTATTTCTCATCATTAGGAAATAATATATAGATGCCTTGTAGTGACTGGCACTTTGCCAAGCACATACAGGCTATTCTAACTTCTGGACGGACTAATATATTCATTATTCTCAAGCCTTGTCAACTGTTTACCTATTAACCCTATTTTTAAATGGACGTATACGTGTTAATTACTTATCGTATACATCACATGCCTGCAGTTTAGTTTTTCCTGAATATAAATACTGTCACGCTTAATCAAAACCAGTTTCTTTACTCGCCTATCCTACTGAGCGTCATTTCTTTTCGTTTCGCTTTCTTCACTTAGTTTCGCTGGTTGTCTGTTCAGACCAATAAGTGTACGAAATACACTTATTCAAATTTCATTCTCGTATTTGACTTATTTTATCCAGTTATTCTCTAACGCGTATTGAGTCAATAAAAATATACGGGGGTCGACAGCATGTATATTTCAAAAACAATCATCCAACAATTTAACTGGAATCAGATACAGGACCCCTATAGCCTTCAAGAAAGATGTAATTCATATTTAGTCACTGAGACTAAGTGCTTAGAAAAAAACAAAGATTAATTTTCATTTGTATCCCAAGTATATTAGGAAGATTGACTTAACATCTCTTTTCATTGGTGGTAAACTGTACGAATGTAAAACCGAAATATTAACTATTCTCCAGCACATCTAGTGCCGAAATGACCAGAAAATAGGAATTTTAACAGGCTAGTAATTGTAATCATTATTTTATTGAATGTGCATTGGGAAGCCGCTTCTGATGCTACTGCCATATTGATGAACATGGTTTCATAAAACAGAAAGTAAGATAAAATAAGCAAAACAAACAAAGTTAGAAACAGTGAAATAATGCACAGAAGTAATATCGACATTTACACAATTTACAAGTCGTTTACAGGAAATTGCATTCACAATGACAACACTTGTTTTTCACTCTAGAATTGACATTCATTCGTACCGAATTTCCGTCTTTTTTCAAAAAAAGACATGAACTACTTAATTATTTTAAGTAAATAGATTAGAATAATGAAAAATAGATGAGCGTTAGAGTTCCGAACTGCTACTACTAACGCCCCTCCATCAGTTGCCACGGTAAATCATATGTCATTGTATTCGAACAAGCCATTTGTGAGCATCTGAACCTTGAGAGTGAACATCCCGCTTACGATTGCTTTCCATCATATATTGTAGCATTAGTTGGTCTGTAACGAATGAAACCATGTATCAAATGTAATGATTTTAATGCTATTTAGAATTTTAAATTTAACAAATCAATCAAGGGAAAAATGCCCAAGTTTGTCTGTAACACGTAATTTGAAAAATAAAACCCTGTTTTAAAGAACAAACAATCAAACATTAATTTATCACTCTCAATGAATCAGTTTGCTGTAAATTAATATAATACACGATTATTTCAGACACCTTGAGATCATCAACATGTATTTTATAGAAATGAGGCCACCAAATAGTTTTACAATAAATGATAGACTTTTTGGTGACAAATTGTAGTCGTAGGAAATGAAATTCAAATCTCAAGAATTCTTGTACTTCGTTTATTATTAAACCACGAATTGAAATCACCCCATTCAATTTCTCTATTGAACATCTGCTGAGATACAAAATTACAATAGCCAGTGACTGAATAGTAATCAGCGACTTGCTTTTTGTAACTATACAGTTGGTCGGCTTGATATAGTAATGTTAGATAGTTATTGTGTAATAAGTTATGCAATCACCAGTTTCATTGACATCTGAAATCATTCCACCCCTGAAATTTTTTATGACGTTACGTACGGAATCGAACTAATAATCTGGTTTATTTGTTTGTGCATATTTTATTTGGTACGCTGTACTTATTAAGAGTGCTAAATCTTTAAGCAGAATACTAAGATGATCTGCTATATATTGGGGTTAGTATGTAAGTTATCAAATAATATTGAATGATGTAAAATTAACCATTATGAGTATGAGTGATATCGAAGTTAGTACTTGATCATATTTTTCAGGTATATTTATCTTAATCTTCATTACCAAAAAACTGAAAACATAAGATCATATTTTACTAACAAAGCTGGTTTAACATTCATACCGGCTTATATTGTGAACTACTTTGTAATTTTATACAACAGAGATATTGTAGGAAACCATAGCTTCATAATATCACATGAGCTAATGTCGGTCCATGACAAAAACTGTCTGGAGACTGAAATAATCTTTTCATATCACCTAACTAACCATACATTTTCAAATATGTTCTCTTCAGGAAGATTCTGTAAAGTGACGTTGTATAGTTTCAAACAGCCACATGGGAAGTTTAATTATGATCTAAATACAACATATCAATTCTTAATAATCTCGATAAGAATTGTCAGCTTAAAACAATACCAGAGACATAACTTGAGTTCATTTATTTACAGGTGGGAACATAATGAAAATAACTGAATCAATGAATTACAAATAGATTCATACTGAATACTTTACACTGCATTCATCATATGTTTAAATATCAATTATAATTTTTAATTTTCAAATAACCATGTAAAAGTAGTTATACTATCATTCTTAATAAAATCAGAGAGGGGTTTTCTGAATATTATAGTAATTTAATTGTTGAATTCATGAGTTAATTAAAGCTAGACCATAATTGAAAACCTGGAAGCACTGGACGGTGATGATCAGTGGAGTTAAACCGAGTCAGTTGTGAGATAGTAACTCAATGATGACATTGGTAGACATTGGCGCAATTTCGTGGATTGGTTGAAGCTAGACATTAACACTGTTGGTCCAGAGGTTAGGCGTTCGCACGCGAGACCGATAAGTCCTGAGTTCTAATTTCGCGAGGCAGAGTCGTAAATGCACACTGCTGAGGAGTCCCATACTAAGACAAAACGGCTGTCCAGTGCTTCAAGGTTTTCTATCGTTGTCTAGCATCAACTGACTCATGAAATTTTATTAATTAATTCACTTACCTGATGCATAATGTGGAATGTTATTATGTATTATTTTCGATGATAAATAAGATATTTAATCACAATAAAGAAATTGTTAGAATTTTTTTATACAATTAGAAATAAATTAGGAAATAATAAAAATAAATGAACTTCTATTTCAAGAAGATTAAACGAATCATAATATTCTAAATCAGTATAAAATTGATTTGAACAAAATTGTAGAGTTGGTGCATTCATCATCATCAACATCATCATCATCATCATCATCATCATCATCATCATCATCATCATCATCATCATCATCATCATCATCATCATCATCATCATCATCATCATCATCATCATCATCATCATCATCATCATCATCATCATCATCATCATCATCATCATCATCATCATCATCATCATCATCATCATCATCATCATCATCATCATCATCATCATCATCATCATCATCATCATCATCATCATCATCATCATCATCATCATCATCATCATCATCATCATCATCATCATCATCATCATCATCATCATCATCATCATCATCATCATCATCATCATCATCATCATCATCATCATCATCATCATCATCATCATCATCATCATCATCATCATCATCATCATCATCATCATCATCATCATCATCATCATCATCATCATCATCATCATCATCATCATCATCATCATCATCATCATCATCATCATCATCATCATCATCATCATCATCATCATCATCATCATCATCATCATCATCATCATCATCATCATCATCATCATCATCATCATCATCATCATCATCATCATCATCATCATCATCATCATCATCATCATCATCATCATCATCATCATCATCATCATCATCATCATCATCATCATCATCATCATCATCATCATCATCATCATCATCATCATCATCATCATCATCATCATCATCATCATCATCATCATCATCATCATCATCATCATCATCATCATCATCATCATCATCATCATCATCATCATCATCATCATCATCATCATCATCATCATCATCATCATCATCATCATCATCATCATCATCATCATCATCATCATCATCATCATCATCATCATCATCATCATCATCATCATCATCATCATCATCATCATCATCATCATCATCATCATCATCATCATCATCATCATCATCATCATCATCATCATCATCATCATCATCATCATCATCATCATCATCATCATCATCATCATCATCATCATCATCATCATCATCATCATCATCATCATCATCATCATCATCATCATCATCATCATCATCATCATCATCATCATCATCATCATCATCATCATCATCATCATCATCATCATCATCATCATCATCATCATCATCATCATCATCATCATCATCATCATCATCATCATCATCATCATCATCATCATCATCATCATCATCATCATCATCATCATCATCATCATCATCATCATCATCATCATCATCATCATCATCATCATCATCATCATCATCATCATCATCATCATCATCATCATCATCATCATCATCATCATCATCATCATCATCATCATCATCATCATCATCATCATCATCATCATCATCATCATCATCATCATCATCATCATCATCATCATCATCATCATCATCATCATCATCATCATCATCATCATCATCATCATCATCATCATCATCATCATATTCATATTCATTTGATATTGTGATTGATATTGATTTAATTATTGCATTGTTGAACGATTATAGAATCTTGTATGATTAGTGAATTTTTCATTGGAAGTAAGGGGAAATAATTGATGAAATTCATTTTTATCATTATTAACATAAGTTTAATGCTAAATTGACTACATATTCTTGTATTGAATTACTTACTTACTTACTTACGCCTGTTACTCTCAATGGAGCATAGGCCGCCCACCAGCAATGTCCGACCGACTTTTCCTGGGCCTTCCTTTCAAATTCTAGCCAGTTCTTGTTCATGTTTCTCATATCTGTCCCCATTTCTCTTGCTCTTTTCTTTTGGCCTTGAGGATTCCATGTGAGGGTTTTTCTTGTGACGCAGTTGGGTGCATTCCTCAATGTGTGTTCTATCCACTTCCAGCGCTTCTTCCTGATTTATTCCTCCACTGGAATCTGGTTTGTTCTCTCTCCCACAATAGGTTGTTGCCGATAGTGTTTGGCCAGCCGATCCGAAGTATTTTGCGAAGATAACTGTTAATAAACACTTGTATCTTCTGGATGATGGCTTTCGTAGTTCTCCGAATCCCCGCCCCATACAGTAGAACTGTGTTGACATTTATATTGAAAATCCTGATCTTGGTGTTTGTTAACAGACAGTTGTTTTGAGTTCCAGATGTTCTTCAGTAGTGAACATGCTGCTCTTACTTTGCCGATCCACACCTTCACGTCTGCATAAGATCCACCGTGTTCATCAATGATGCCTAGATATGTAAAAGTGTTTACATCTTCCAAAGCTTCTCCGTCAAGTGTGATTTGATTGGTGCATGATGTGTTGTATGGGAGAATCTTGCTTTTCCCTAGAGGAGTTGGAAAACCCTCATTCAAACCAATGGTGCCCATGGGCTTCAGGATCCTGAGTGAACGAATGGCGTATGAACCAATCGTTGGTCACTGGCTATTATGGGACGGCATCTCCTTACGTTGCTCCAGTGTCTTGTAGTTTAAACTTTTAGGTCAAGGGCTCGGGATGTGGCCCCCTAAGAAAACCGCTTGTTTCGGTTCGCACCCGGGCAGTATCTCAGCCCTCATAAAAATTGAATGATTTATGTGACGCATAACTATTTGGTGCCTTCTTGTACCACTGTTTATGTGTTTATATAAATAAATGAATAAAACATCATAAGAAGCGCTTTCACAGGTTAATCATCAAAGCACTCTTCAACGTAAATATAAGTTCAGTTTACTTGAATAGTACTAGTGAATGCCACACACGAAAAACCGAAATTATAATACAGGTTGCAAATCAATATATGCAAATAAGTTGAAATTACATCTGTTTAGTGTTTTAAAAAAAAACTTTTGTGGGATCTGTAACGGTTATTTAATTATTCTTGTAATCCCTCTTTCGATAAAATCATTTTGCTTTCACAAATTATGTTATTTTCTATACATAAAGTCCACTTGTAAGAAGTTGTAGATGGTCGGTAGTGGAATTGAGTTCATACGGTTACTGCAAATCCATATATCAGTCACAGCCAATGCGAAAACAGTTCATTGTGTCCATTTATGATAAGCTAATATAATCAGTTGGTCATCTACAAGCATCATGAAATCTGGCACAATTGTCCATCGGTTAAGGTTGACAAGTCACAACACAACAGTGAGGTGTGTTCGTCAAGCCAAATGTCAAGGTAGGGGAAATAGTAACATTACCAGTAGTAGTAAACAAGATTTCTTATTAAAAAAAACTTGATTCAAGAAAAAAGAATGAATCTACTGGATAAAAAAATACAGTAATTTTAAAACGATAGATCCGAGGGATGACAAATAGTGAATGGATCCCAACCATTATGACAAAATCTGAACTACGTCGTTCAACGTCTCCAAGTATTGCTTACTACAGTCTTGCACGCTTAACGAAGAGCATAAAAATATGTCGTGTCAAAATCAGTTTACTTGAAAATAATTACAAGTAGGTCTATTGAATGAATGAAGTTGCTTAGTTCTGTGTGTTAAAAGACTTATAGCAACTATCCTACAACCAATTTCGAGTATGGTTAATCTTAGTTAAGCCTTTTTTTATTAACTAACTTAATAGACAATGTTATTTCAACAGTAACAATTCGCATATTTCGTTGTACCGTTATGACCACTAGATCACATGACAGACTCGGGCTAAAATGTTGATTTCTAAAATATCACTTCATGGTTCATCCTCTTCCCCATGTATATATGTACTCAAATCCTATTATTAGCTTTTGCTTTGCGTTGTTGTGCCTTTATGCAATTCGACTATAAATTTGCTTATGTATTCGTTCGCACACACATATTCACCTCACTGCTTCAAATTCGCTTGATGTGCTTATAGCTTTGTGATATGCGCTATCCGCTAATAAACTGAAGTTGCCGCTTCTCATTGCCTTCTAATTTCAAATACCGTTGAGATTCATATTATGACGGTTATCGAAGTGATCGACTAACGAAGCAAAGCCATTACAGATTTTATCAGAGTTCCGTTTATTTCATTTTAATCAACGTGATACTAATTTTTTCGGATTTCGTATTATAAGCTTACTCTAATATTAACTCATTTAAATGTTAGATATTAGATTAATAACGATACAATCAGAAATGTCAGGCTGTTCGAAGGAATCAGTACGAAGCTTTAAAATTATGTTTTAAACTAGGTGACATCACTTCAGCAAAGCATGTCCTGTAATCATGACGTAATTTACTCTACTCATTGGATTTAAAACAGGCTATCTGATTTCACAATCAAAAATTGTACCATTTAGCTTTCAGGAATAATTTTTTGAATTACCTACTTAGAAATTTAATCAGTTATATAATATACCCTTGTAGGCCAAGGTAATTTTACATTGGTTTTTGGGAGAACTAGACACCATTCAGACGTTCACGTGACAACCCAAACAGATCAGCTCACTCCCGTTTAACAAGAGAGCGAGACACCGCCCAGGCTTAACATGAACAGTACAGTTCAATCCCGCTTCACAAGAGAACCAGACACCGTATAGGCTTTAACGCTACAATCTGTATAGTACAGCTCAATCCTATGGCGCGACCACACAGGTACCAAACGTCCTGATGAACCATGGGAATTCAACCAGTTGGACTTAAATTATATAATAGAGTTCCATTTAAGTAAGCATTTTACTCAATTCAATAATTAAGTAAAAGAGCAATGGTTGTATTTATAAAAGACTGATTATTCAAAAGTTGAACAACAAATCAGTGTCTTGTGCAGAAAAAAAGAAAAATTAGAACTTACTTTATTAGATTTTGTATAATTTTCGTTACATGGTATTCTAACTAAAGCGATATCGTCTGCATCATTTATTTGTTGTTGTTGTTCCTGATTATGATGAGGAATATTTTGATTAGGGGATAGAATAGCAGCTATTTGAGAATTATCTTGATGTATTCTAGCCAATTGTTCATTCATTGTTTGATGTAAAGAAATAGATTGAGGAATAGAGAATTTCGGTGTTATACAGTGGTTTATAGATGAACAAATTGTTGAACTGGAATTGTGGTGTAAATTCGATGAATTAAGATAACTGGAAAGTTTCAAATAGTCAATAAATGAAGATGAAGTTAATGGAACTGTTATGAATGAAGATGATGGTAGTGAAGATATCTCATAAGGATGTTGATGATATGGTAAAGATGAAAAAAACTCTGTATGACTCACTTTTGAAATATTTGTTGGTTGAATCAATTTTGTTGATTCCTTTGATAACTTTCTATGTGCAGAAAAACATGTTTTATTAATTAAATTTCCAAGGGATCTACTACTAGTTGAATGTGCATTACTGGTAGTTGACACACTAGGTTTTATCAGGACAGGACGTGAAATAGTAATGTGAACAGGATGCTGAGACATTCTAGATTTCATGTGAAATGAAAAAAAAACAGAATAAATGTTAAAGAAGCTGGTAATTTTTTGAAGTATGAATTTACACCATGCGAGACTGTAATTTAGAATGACTGGTTTAGGATTTTGGCGCGAAATTCATTCACCAAATTGTCGAAATAGCGTCCTGACATTTTAGCTGATGTCAGTTCGTGATGAAAACCATAAATCTAATTCCTAACCATCAACTGTAGATCATAATATTTTACTCTTCATTCTGCTTTATAACCATCAATTAGCGTCGCTCAAAGGTCGTTCATAAATTATAGTCTCAACATTGTTAAAAATAAACGTTTTAATAGTAAAATATTTAGAGCACATCTTCACAGTGCGTTAACACAATTTGTATGAACGATTCATTTGGAAGCGTTTAATATTGATCGTAAACTTCAGTGTGATTGACTGGCTAGAATGGTCTGAAGATTTTTTATTCCTTATTTAATAATCTGGATTCTTATTGGTTATAGTTCGTAAGTTTTCCAAAGATAAAGAGTTCGATTTTCCCTAATGACCTTAACTTTACTTGTTTTACTCATTTGCATTGCAATATGTTTGCATCAAAAGAAGAGTATTGTCTTTGCAGTTGTAAAGTTTTTACAAATAAATTTAATGTTTAAGATCTAACAAACAAAGCATAATGTAACTGGATAATATTTTCGCTTGTATGTATGCTGATATATAGCAGTAAAAAGGAACGACATTTGATTCAATAGATTTGTAAGGTGCTTATCATGTATATTGATTGATTACTGGGTATTAACTAATGTCATGTTCATCATGTTCTTCGTGCTGTTAGAATCATATCGGTGAAGTTACAATGTAATAACTAGAATATGTAAATCAGTAACATGAACGCTTTATATTGATAGTATGTTATCAAATCATTTAATATCGTAGTGAATAAGCCACTGTATTAATAAATGTTTAGAAGTTAAGGCTAATGATTTTTTAAAGGTCTATGATTGTGACAGTCTTTTTGCTCCAAAATTATAGGAAAAGCACTTAAAAAAAACTTATGAAATATTGCTGATACCATTCCAAACTTGTATCGTTTATCAGTAAATGGATTTCCTTTTCTTTAGACTGAACGTGACATTAATGAAGAAAGACAAACTTAACATCATGTATACAGTGTGTAGTACTAAGTGAGAACTTGTGTTGCTTTCGCCTACGAATATGCGGACACAGATTATCAGTTAAACGTAATAATTTATATCCATCTATATCGATGCATGCAAACACCTAACAACACGAGTTTAACTTGGAAAGTGTTGACTGTTTGAATAGAGAAAATGCTTACAGTTTCAGTTGTGAAACGTAGGTCAACTTAAATTCAATAAATAACGTAGATCAAATTATCAGATTAATGTATATGAATTAAATCATATGATAATAGACTAATTTAACAGAAAAACAAACAAGAATGAAAATGCATGCTGAAATGAAAACTTCCGGCTTAGAATCATGTAGAAACAGGACTGTGTCTCTTATGCAATAACTTTGGAAATGTTCACTTCCCATTCAAGCAAAACCCGATGGTATATGCAGAATGATATCAAAAACTTTAAAATTAAATTATCCAGCTCCAAGGATGTGTCATCTTAACTTTGTCATAAAATTAAGTTCATTTATATTAACTCATTGATAATCATCGTTTTTTTTACCCTTCACCAACTTTTTAATACACAGTAACTAACTTAATGATTATATTTTCTTTATAGTATCTTCTGGAGTACAAGAATGCAATTTTCAACATTGGATAATCGATAATGATACCAGATTATTTAATTTCACGGTATTCCCATCACATCGATAAAACAATAAAGAATAAAATTTCTTAATTGATAATCCTGACATTTCAAACATCTGGTTAACTTGTTGACGAGTAAACAAAATTTAAAACTTGCAGTTGTTGGAATGATCTAGAAAACTCCTCGAAAAAAGCCAAGAAAGGCTCTGAAAACATTGAGAAGTGTCTTATTCAATCAGCGTTCAGTCGAACTTTTGCCAGAAGCATCTAGAAAATGAAACGTCACATGTTGAGTTCCTGACTGGATGATTACTTATACTGCTACTATGTTTATTAGCATTCCAGAACTTTCTGGAAACGAAAAACATCTAAAATACTGTGAAAAAATCCTAGATTTTCTGTACATAAACGAACCTTTGGAATAAAGTATTTCTTACATATTTCATTCCTTTTCTCAAGTGTTCAAATCTCTGTGTAGTTCTAGCCTGGGGTTACTAGAAGAGTTCAGAAACCAAATCAAGCGTTCAATTAGCAAGACTTATCAGTAATATTATCATTTTATTACTTTCTATAGATTGAAACTATATAGACAATTTAGAGACTAGCAACTTGGATTAGACTTCATTCATTTACAGGTTTAAGTGATTTGATAATGTGGTTTACTTTTATTTAAAATAACTGAAAGCGGTCGATATCACATTGTGAAACTCTTGTTTTGTGGTGATTAGAGTTATTATTGAAGTGTTTATTTTCGCTCAGAAATTCACTTCCGTTTCATTCCTAATGCAACAGTCATAAATAATAACTTTGATCTATTCAAAAACGTTTGTTCCAGACTTGACAATGACAAAAAGACTTCGTTTAAGAATTCTACTCACCTGAACATGCGAACAACACTATTACTTGTAGATCGTGATACATTTATGTTATCAATTGCAACTATAAAATCACCAGCTTGTATTCCACACTGCATTGCCGGTGAACCCGGTTCCACATGGCTAACGTAAACTGGACAATTACCACATAAAGTAAATCCGTATCCCTTAGAACCTTTTTGAATAAGAAACTGAATAAGGAAAAAGTAAGATACAGTAAAGTAACGATTATTGAACAAGAACGAATTAGTTGTTTGCTATGTGGACACCAGACAAAAAATATGGTAATTACGACAGGTTGTCAGATTATTATGAAAAATAATGTAATGTTCGTAACATTCTGATCACTAGGGGATTGAAGTTTTGACGTTTCACGGCTCAATGTCAGTCGCGTCTACAAAGAATAAATGAATAGTCGAGTTAAATTAACACAAGCTTAGAAAGTACAAAGGAACAAAGCAACATACCTAGTACAAATAAAATAATTCTAAATAAGTCAATGACACGACATATGGGTCAAGGGGATTCCATGCGAGACATGTTTGTGTATTTTTGTGTATGTTAGTCAATATGAAACATGTGATATTTCTAACGTAAAAAAACTTTAATTTTAGTTTGCTATTGCCCTTCTGTATAGAATCCTATTTTCACACTGTTAGTAAACTTTAGAATAAAATATCTTTCAACACTGTAAAGCGTTTTTATAGCATTATTTTCAATGAATTATTACTATGGCTGATTTTGAACGATAACTGTTAGATGTTATTACAAAAAATTGGCTTGTGACCTAAGGCAATATCGAGGCAACCCGCACAGAATGCACATATGCCAACATGAGACTGACCAAACGCAGTCCTAAATAACAATGGGAAGATGCAAGTAAAACAACACCAAGTGAATTTAGATAACTGTTAGACGTTATGACAAAAAAATTAGTGAAGAATAATATTTACCTCATTAGATTCATAAGAATATAGGAGGACACCATGAATAGAAATGAATAACCTAATTATGTGGCATAATAGAAATGTCTTAAGAGTTGAATGTTTTAGACCGTAATCTGTAAAGGAATTAACGGAATTTGGTCGTTTTTTATTTCTTATTGGTCTAGAAAACCAAATTACCATTTTTGTTTATCATCAACCTCTCGAGTTCGAAATAAAGCACTATGAGTTTGGATTACTTAGCCCAACGGTTTTATCATTAAAATGGTGATGTTGATGATGCTGGATCAAAAATGGCTATGTTTAATTTTATCTGACGACAGTATGTCACTTTTTAAGTAGTTTTAACTAGTATTTGAATAAGATTTATTTTTTTAAACACATAAACATTGGTACAAGGAGGCACCAAACAGATATGCACCACATAAATCATCCGATTTCTATGAGGGCTGTATTACTGCCCGGGTGCCCAGACCGAAGCAGGTGCTTTTCTTAGGGAGCCACACCCCGAAAAGTATGTGTCGGAGGTGGAACTCGAACACATGCCCACATTGTGGACCAGAACACCCAGGAGAACACTCTTGAGTCTGGAGCCTTAGACCGCTCGGCCACTCCGAATAAGAATAAAACTAATTCTCAATTTCATTAAATGCATAGAAATTTTAAAGTAAGATAATACAAATCAAAATTTAACCTTCAAACCCAAATTGAGTTACTGTTGAGTTGACAAAAAGTGAATTAACTTCATGGATGACAGTTGTAAATTTTCTATGAAATTGAGCAGAATCATATCAGAACGAAATGAAACAGGCTCTTCTAATTGTTGTCCAAAATAACAATGAAAGCATTTTAATGTATTCTACCTCAAAGAATGCAACTCCATCAAAAGTATTATATCGATTCTTACAAAATACGAAATGTTCGTGATTATATATATCTGTTATATCCTAGTGGAGATTAAACTACGGATAACTTCTGAGACCTATTAATAGACAAATATTATATATACATACCTATTGTATAACTATTCAGTAACTAGATTATATGTATCTATATTCCTCTTATTATAAGCTCCATTTTAACCTATACATTACTACTATTATACGATTTGATATTCTTAAATTATGTTCGGTTTATTGATAACAGTCTCCCACGTTCACAGCCACTTTTGGGCTTGATCTTGTATAAATGTTATTTCCTATTTTATAGTGTGATGCAGTCTGTTTTTACTTGTATAGAAGCCAAGTATGTTTGAAACAAATGATCCACATAGTAGAAGCTGTAATTGGTGTTCTGGACTCAACTGGACGGGCTAGGAGGACAAAGAATTAATAAGGACACTAGACTTGTCATACCGGTCGAACGTTTATTGGTTTTGGCATAGTACTAAAACTGTATAAGTCGTATTTCGATTAACGAATAAATCACGTGATAATTAGCCGGGCTCCAAGTCACAATAATATTAATCTTTTCCTTTCTTCTAAGTTTATTGTTAATTAAAATTTCTATTTTTACCATTCAGGTTATTGAAAGTCCAAGTTTACAGAACCGTAAGTTTAGCGGTCCTAGTAAGCTTAGTTTTATTCAACCTGCATTTGAATGATACATTATTTTACAATGTATATTCCACAAGTCTACTGTAGTCAAATTGGATTTTATACTGTGTAATATAACTTCACATAAGGAATGTAATATTTACAAATTCCTATTTCTTGTTATCATGAACTTCTATATTTCTGAACATAAATTTTACAACCAATTTGAGGTCATTCAGTAATTCAAAAAGCTGTGCAAATCGAGACTTATGATTAAAATTAATGGTGAATGAAATTTAATTCTTATTTTTCCTTCTACAAAACTTGCCAATTAATACAATAATTAAGGATTCCGACTCAGTGGTCTAAAGGCTAAGTGTTCGCGCGCGAGACTGGTAGGTCCAAAGTTCGAATCTCTTGGGGCCGGATCGTGGATGAGCACTGTTGAAAAGTCCCATACTAGAATAAAACCACATTCCATTGATTCCAGGTTTTCCATGGTGGTCTAGCTTCAATTAACTCATGAATTCAATTATTAAATTACTACAATCTCCAAAAAACCCCTCTCTGAAAAATGTATATATATTTAAGTGACAAAACGAATGCTATTAGATTACTTTTTTAAATGATATTCAGTTTCCTAATTAACGTTGTCTTATTTCATTCATTTTTTTGAGATTATAATTTATGGACAACCTTTGAGCACCTCTAAAGTGAGTTTGATAGTATGCACCTACACACTACGGCTTAATGAAGATTATAATTAAGTGTGAGGAATTTACAGTTTCTAGTTAGGTTTAGGAATTGTTATAACTGTGCCCTGTTTCCTTATTAATGTATAATGTAATGATACCACCAATTAAAGAACAGTGAATTATCGACTGGACCAATGACCCATAAAACTTGTACGAGCAGTTTAGAGTCCTTATCGGTCCTGCTTCCCGCCTAGACATGCCTGTTAAGTCCAGAACACCAGTCTCAGCCTCTATGATATGAATCGTTTATTTCAAACATACTGGGTCTAAATACAAATGAAACAGACCACGTAGCACCACAAAACAGGGAACAACATTTGTACAAGATTTAGCCAAATGTTACTGTGAATGTGGGAGATTGTAATTGATAGACAGGGCATAACTCAAGACTGGTAAATCGTATAACAACAGCTCATATGTTAAAATAAAGCTCATAATAAAAGGGACACGAATATGAATAGTTTAGTTACTTATCAATTATGCGCTAAATATATCCATATAGTATTGGTTCATAAATGGATCCCAGAAGTTACCATTCATTATTCTCATCGTGATATGACAAGAATTACATATATAGAGTTTTCATCACAAACTAACATTAGCTATAATGTCAAAAGTCTATTTAACCAAATTAATAAATTTATTTCGCGCCAAAATTTCAAGATTTGTTACCATAAATCTGATTGGTTTATTCATAAATTATTGTTTCACCACAAATACTTTCATGTAAATTGTTCACAATTCAAATTAATCATTTAAAATAGAATAGATTTATTATCCTTTTCTTCTTTTTCTTCCTCCCCTTGTTGTTGTTATGGTTATATTTTAACAGAACAACTGTTATATTTAATGTTGCACTAAACAGTTATTGTTTGAATCATCATTCTAGTTGTGTATATTTGAAAGTTATTGATTCATTTATTCTAATAATAACCATCAGTGAAGTTCATAATTTGTGTATTAAAATAAAATGATATAAATGACTCTTAGGTTCCTCATTTACTTTCATTCTTTTACTTTCTACTTAATCTATTTGTAATATATTTAACCCATAGAGACTAGTCATTAATAAATGTTATATTTAGTGTTGCTAAAAGTTGAGGTATAAGTTACCTGATTATGCCATTTTTATATGTATCTACGAATTCAGCTGCTCCTGTGAAGAAAGCTATATTGGGCGCAATACCAGACAACTGAACCAAATTGTTAGTGAACACCTCCATTCGTGGTTAGTAAAAGGTAATGTCAAGATAATACGCAGCTCGGTTCTATCACACTTGATCGATAGTGGTCATGTAGTGGACAGAAACAAATCAATTAAAGTTATTTATCGTATTCCTACTATTTTTCCTCATGATATTCGATCTCGTCTCTTACACATAGTAGAAGCTGTAGGAAATCGAGCCAACAATACAAGTCTTTTTGTTGATAAGAAATTTGTAACATCCTTATCTCTCCCTTGGCCTTAATGAATGATTTTATTTCTTATTATTTTCCATACTCTTTGTTCGTTTATTTTTCTCCTTACCCTCCCAGCCTTTTTCTTTTCTCAAATATACACTTCACGGTCCAATTATTTGAACACTTCTTATTACGTAATCTTGTAATCTTTCTATGAATGTTATTTTTTCTAATTATTGACTTATTACCAATTATGTCATCACACTAACAATTTGTACTTTTAACTTATTTATGTAATCTATTCCACTGTTTTCATTGACTCATAAACTATCTTGATTGGTTTAGTAATTTCGTATACGTGTTAAAATATTACTGTATATTAGAGTAAAGCCTAAGAATTGGAAACATTCTGTGTTATAACGCAACCAAATATTATCTTTCGAACAAATCTGTACGTGATCTATCCAGAAAGGATAGAATTACATTTATTTGTTGCGCTTGATTTGGTTACTGGTTGAACAATTATTGGTTGAATAATTGGGTGGTACTATTTATTTATAACTATAGAACCCAAACTAAGGTTTGGACTAAATAATAACTGTGTAGATAGTTTAGATACTCGCTATTACCCGATCAACTTGTTTTGCTTTCAACTGGGAAATAGCGCGTATCTAAACTACCTAGATAGTTATTCTTCAGTTCAAACCTTAGTTTGGATTCAACATTTAGTCTGATGCTGTCATCATGTATTTGTAGTCAAATTCTGTGTTAATCTTTATCCATGGTACTAAAGTTTACAGGCTATAAATTAAATTATTGTCTACCCAGTGACCTCCGATATTTAAAGAGCTTCATATATGAAATATTAGTCAATCGGGATTCACAAATATAGCAGGATATTTTGCTAATGGTTGAGTCCAGAAGGATTGTTTTGTCCTATTTGCGACTCCTCACGTTGATTTGCCTGGTACTGATGTTCGTATTTAGACTGGAATCCAGCACTTATCGCTTCAAACATTAACGCACAGTCCACTTTGTAGTTGTTAATCTGATTCACAGGTTTAAGATTTATCTTGTGCAGTCCTAAATATTCACAAACACTTACAAATGATAAACATTTAGAAGCCACGATTTTGCTTTACTAAAATGAATCTTGACAATTTAAATGTTATAGTTTGAATAGAGTAATTTTTTCATACAATTAATGTACATGTTTTTTCGAAAACGACCAATTTTCTAAACTAACGGACACAAGTGAGTTACTCTAAAACTTCATGCAGATTAGAGGAAGTCCATACTAAACTTTTAAAATAAATAATTAGTTGATTTTTTTTTTGGTGTTGATGGATTCCATATTCACATGTCTCATAATGATGTTACTAAATGAACTTTCAGTTCATCCGACATACAATGAAGTGATGAAAATTTTATTCGTAACCAGTGAAAGTTGTTTTCGGTCTTATACAATAATAAAAGATTATCAAAAAGGTGTTCGGTTGACAAACAGCGTTTTACTTAATCATAGTAAATGCTTTCTCTTATTCTATCTGGAAAAAGCAAAAATGTAAATCAGTAATTTTAATTATGTTCATTAGTTAACAAAATTTCATTTATTGATCCAGTAAATTACATTTGTACCTCAAATTATTGATTATTTAACATTGATTACTACCAGCTAGATTTATTCAACTTTAATTGTTGAACGAATCTGTAGGAATGATTTACACCACACTGTAATATTTTGATGTTGTTTTAATCAGTTGTGGTTGTATAGTTGGTTCATGAATTAACCTTCATCTGAAGTTTTTCTTCCTTTCTCTAAATGTTATCAATATTTGTTCCTCCATAAAAAGTAGCAAGTGACAGTTTTTCTCAGCTATCACAAGTATTAGTATCTGTATATAACGAGATACAATAAATCCAATCGTACATTTTACAAAATTTAACCTTAGTTACTCGACAAAATAAGGTAATATCATGTAACTAAACTACTGGATTTCGCATACAAATAAATGATCGAACTTTTCTTTTGTCTATAGTTACTAACAAATCAAACTTTCACTAGGTCGTTTCGCTCTATGTCCGTATCCATACTTAGACATGTGTACAAGTTTACATGAAAAATTCACATGAAAGATTTACGTAACGTTGGATTGTGACTAAACGTGGAACTTATGACATAGATTTAGTTAAACCTCATTGAAACTTGTGTCTGAATGTCAACATCGAGGTCCTCTCATTAGATGGTATATATATGATTGTGTAAACACTAACACTGAAACTCAGGAACATTCGATTAGCTAGTCGTAAATAAGACAAAATGCATATCTTGAATTTCACTGTTAGTCAAAATCTAATCTAACTAAAATTTGTGACTAAATATCGAGCAATACAAGCAATTCATTCATGGTGTAAAAATGCCAATCTAAATTGATCAGCTGAAAACATAAATACAAGTATGAAATCTGATAAATTATTTGACATAATTTGTACATTGTACTACTTTGAAATTAGTACCGAATATTGGCAAAAAAAGAAAAAAAAGTTACCATTGGTAGTAAAACAATAAAACGAATTAGAAAAAACAAAACTAGAATGCAGGGCAAGCAAAGAATATGACGAAAAAAGGAGGATATCAATTTATATATTTTGTGAATTCCTTTTCAGTTACCTAAAAGCTGGAATAATTGCAACTTGTAATAAAGTAAAATAAATGTGAATACTACTATAAAGTTGTTAAGGAGGTGATGCTTGGAAATTTGAAATAACTTTGAATACTTTTAGTCCAATTGGAACAATTTAGTAATGTTGAATTCTCTTAAGTAAACTTGTACTACTTCCCTAAAATTTGATGTAGAAGTGAATGGTGAATGATAGTATGTGATAATATTTTCTTCCAGAACGACAAAAGACATTTAGTTAAACCAGTCATTTCAGAGAACTTAATAAGAAATAGAAAGCACAAATGTAGATTATTCAAAATCATCCAAAGTGTTGCAATTCCTAATTATTGAACGTAGAATTGATTATAGGACTACAATATTAACATTATGGTAAAGGTAAAAGTTGATAAAAAAAACAAGAATTCCGTCGTACAATAGTAACTACAGACAGAACTGAATAGAATAATTAGTGGTTAATTAATAACAAGTGATTACTCACATAAATCAGATTATGAAAACAAGAGTAACCTGCAACATAATTGCTATATTCTAATGTAAATCTTTAGAAGTTGAAGCTAATCAATCAATACAAGAAGTAGCACACCTTCGAATACATACAATATTTGTACGTTCTTTCATAATTACAAATATGTTTGGGTTTATTAGTATTGAATATGATGAAGACGTTTATTTATTTACTCAAAAAATTACAAGTCAGTTCAACGATTTGTACACATTGATGGATGATAGAGTAGTAACCAATGCTATGCTTTTTAATCCTAAGTAATGATGGATTTCTACCTATCCAATTGCAATATGACCAATATTCTCCAAGTTATTCGACACCGTATGCACTATGTCACATGGTTGGGGCCGGTCGACAAAAGTCATATTTGATAATGGCTTCACTCTATTTCGCCCTCTTCATCTGGGTGTGTATAGTATTCCGAGGAAACTATTACTCGAAACCTTATTACTCAAAGTCACCTAAAGCATTACCACTGAGTTAGTCTAACTACTTGCTAGACTATAATATTTATACTGAATAATTAGTGAGGAATAACCAATGTGATGTTATCGTCAGTACTGTCGAATAGCTCAGTGGCAAAGTCCTTATCTCTGACACTTTTTGGCGTTAGACTGAATTATGTATGTAGTATCATTTTTCTCTGTACTAGATGCGTACCTCGATGATGAGTGTTAACTAAGACAAAATCAAAGTTTATGGCTTTCTCCCGCTTGTCTACAATCATTTAACATGCCGCCAAATACTAGTGCTCAATAAAATGATGATAAGCTTGAATTTGCTTCTAATATAAACTCAAAAACTAATGGAGATTGTTTGCTTTTAGTCATAGGTCTGCTGAATCTGTTCATTTTATACACGGAATAACAATAAAAGGTTGTTGAGCAATATTACTTTATTCAGTCTTCTAAAATTCATTGAGTATCCTAGCTTAGATACGTATATGGTGAAAACTATAGAAACTTAAGTGAAAATAATTTAACTCACTTGAAATATTCTCATATTACTTAAAGCTTTATTCGTATTTGGAATTGACATATTTGCTCGTATAGGAACTGGTGATGAAAATTGTGGAAAATGTGAATTAACTGGTGGGTTACTAATTTGATATGGTAACAATGTATTAGGCAGATTTTGTGAATAAATCATAAAGTTAGTAGGTGACAATACTGAACAAAATTCCCTGGAACAATGATTATTTATATTGTGATAATTACTAGCGAAATTACGATTTATATTAGGATGAATTTCATTTGTACTTGGACGTGTGACATGTTCATTAATCGATGTTAGAATAATAGGAATTTGTTGATTTGTTGTTGATGTGTTTGTTGTCACAGCATCAGTGACAGCTTCGGTTTTCATTATATCTGATACGATTAATTCATTTGTTGCACATAAAACATTTTCGAAGTTGGTGATAGGATCTAAAGCAGTTTTGAGGTGCTTCTTTTTAAACATTTTTTCGTCTAATAAATAATACCAACCTGAGATCTATGAACATTAGAGTAGAAGAAAATTAAAATTAAAACATGAATATATGTTTGTTCAATTAGTGTGCACTTTAGTTAGACACGTATCACTGGTGGGATAGGATTATAGTCACACCATTTTACAAATTAGCTAATGTTAGAGCTATAAATAGTTGGATTTCGAAATAACTGTACCAAGTTATCGTATTACTAACATGACCTGAAATCGATAATATTCAATTCACTTTAGAATTATAAACATACATTAATCAGTAATTTCACTTCACATCGAAATATCTATCTGATATTTCTTTTTGGTTTCAATGATCTTCCTAATGATGAAGATGAGAAACATAAATTAATTTGATTCCATTTGAGTTGGCTACATTCCCACTTTACACAAGATACTCAACAGCCATTGGACGGATGCCATCAGCAACAGCCTACTGTTGAAGAGGACAAACCAGCTTCCAGCTGAAGAGGAAATCAGGAAAAGATTATGGAAATGGATAGGACATGCATTGCGGAAATCACTAAACTTTATCATGAGGTAAGTGCTAACTTGGAATTCTGAGGGGAAGCAGAAAAGAGGAAGGCCAAAAAACACATTACGTCGGGAAATAGAAACAGATATGAATAGTATGAATAACAACTGGAATGAGCTGGAAAGGATTTCCCAGGGCTTGATCGGATGGAGAGTGCGGGTGGGTGGCCTATGATTCTCCACGAGGAGTAAGAAGTGTAAGTTAGTAAGTAAGCAAGTGTGGTGAATTAAATGACTTCCACTTTTTTGTTAATAAACAGTTTGAGTTTTCTGTTATGAGCATGAAATGAAATTTAATATGCAAATAAGTTAATTTTATCAAAGAAAAAAATTGATATTTAGAGTTGGGTGATAAATTACTCAATCAAATTCTAACCAATACATTGATATTTATTTGTCTACAGCAGAGGATTTGTAATTTTTGACTTGAATGGAATTAAAACAAAATGAATATTTGTTGTTTTTTAATAGTTGAATTCATGAGTCAATTGAAGTTAGATCATCATGGAAAACCTGGAAGCAATGGACGAACGTTTCATCCACGATCCCACCTCACGATATATATATATATATATATATATATATATATATATATATATTTCATCGATCAAATTTTCTTACATAATACAGCTGGATTCATACTGGTTAAAAATAGATTCTTAAGTTATGCGAACATTCATTAAAGAAAACATTCACAAAAAGAAGATACCACAACAAAAAGTGTAAATATCTTTACTTTTTTTAAATCATAAGCATCTAGTTGACTTACGTGTTTCTTGTTTTGTATACTAGGAATTCCAAAAGACATTCCACCAAGAAATTCACTTGAAATGAAATTACAAAAAAAATATTAATCAAATTAAGTATAAAACTTTTCAGTGATTATTGAATTAAATTACAGCCTCAGTATTGTCAATATAAATCATTTTGATATTTTTGGCAACTAGAGATAAACGGAATTAATTTGAACTTAATAAATGTTCTAGCTTGACAACAAACTTTGTTATGTCTTATCGTTCAACTGATTTACATTTCAATTCCCTGGTTAGTTTGTAGTTTTCATGAACATAAATTTGTCATTGTCTTATTAAACTTGTTAAACTTTACACTGGAAAACATCTAGAAATGAATTTGTTTTAACTGCAGAAGAAAATACTTACCTGGCTTATTAGCGAAAAGCTTGATGTTACATTTACCAGTTGACTGGAAGAATGTTACTGTCTTTGGAATTAGCCATGATCTCAGCTAATCAATTATTCACTGAGGAAACTAGATGATTATGTTTTATGCCTAAACTTGATCAAAAGATTTTAATGCACACTTTGGATTGTGACTCATTAGTTAAAGTATGGCGTACCTCTAAGGGGACTTGAAAGTACCAGGTACGAAATATTACGGGATCATAAATTTGAGCTACTGAGTAGTTCCACAATAGAGCGTATCAACTGTTTATTGTTCCACGGTGTTCATCAGTTGACATCAGTTCGTGTTGTAAACTATCTTCGAAGCTCTTAAAATATAAACAGAGTCACCTTACTGACAAAAGGAGATTATAACGTAACTGATTTGTTAATTTTCTCTGAATTACGTCACTTTGTATAGATTAAGCTGGAGTTAACAATTATTTATTATACACATCATTTTTAATTTAAGAACTAAATTGAATTATAAGTTACTACATGGTAATTGAACTAGCAGAACTCATAGCGATATATATCAATATATGAATTCTTTGACAAATTAAAAAAAAAACTCATTTACTTATATTATTACAGTAGATGGAAGATATTTAGAATCTTTATTTATTAAGTGTTGGATTTTGTTTATTATACATATTACCCGTTTGAAAACTGGTTCACCAGCCCACCAATGATCACTGAACTACTACTACTTATTTTGTGAGCAAATTAAATAAATAATAGTTGAGACAGTTTCCGAGAAATACGACGGAGCCTTCAGAAGCCCTAAAGGAGCCGAAGAGTTTTCATCCAATCAGAACGCAACGGGGCTTTCTAGAATATCAACGTGTCATGCTACTATTGGGCAGTAGCATAACATGCCTCTTTGCGGACTGATTAAATTATAATATCTATAAATGCATTTTAATTCTTGCCCAGCAAGCACTTCTTCAGTCTTTTTCTGTCTTTTGATATGCGACTGCGGAGGTTCTATACGTTGGAGTGCCGTAGTTCTTTACTATACTCCGCAATAATCAAGTAGAGAACTTAACATAATACGACAATACGATAATTATTTAATTTTACATTTAATATCAATTATCAATTATCCGAGTATGCTATTCCTATTGTATGCTGATAATTACTGTTATCTATCCACCCAGTTTTGACATTGCTTCCGAATGAAATCTGTTTTAAAGTTATAATTATTGAAATGCAATTAATTCCCACTGTCAAGAAAATTTGTATATAAAGAATGGTATTATTGTATAAGACGTTGTTTTTCACAGGTCAAATGTTATCTTCATTTTCATCTTCCTTATGCTTGGAGGTCGAGTTCTCAGTCTTGGTAGCATAATGCTGAAGAATATTTGGAAGAGTTCCTTGATAATATTATTGTTGACTAGATATTTTCAATTTGTGTAGCAAAAAGGAGATCGCAACAAGCAAAAAAACAAACAAAAACTCACCGATTTACTACTTATGTACAATGTGTATGGAAAGTGCCAAGTATTTGACTTGTTCGGCGCTATTGTTTTTACTTACTGGTGTCAGAAATCAACTTTTGATAACAATTTCAAACATTCTCAGCAATACAAAAATATTTTTGTCATGCAAATGGTTTCTTTAGTCATCTTACAGTGAGCAAAAACAAAAGGTTAAGCAGAATAACATTTTATTTCTATCAGTTCTCATTAGCTACTTACAACTTCTAAGATTAAAAAAATCATAATTATAAAGCCATTTGAAAATACAAAAGATCAAATAGTTATAAATAGGTAGTAACGTAATAAGCACACACTAATTATGCATAATAATAAAAGGAATATGGGTTGAAGACTTAAAATAAATTTACTGATGTTATAACACTCACTTTTACTTCATCTAATGTTATAACAGGTTTACACTTTTACACTTATGGGACGTTAATTTATCTTAGACGATTATCTACACTAGATTCCCTCCAAGTGTCTATTCTACAGGACTTCAACACAACTCAGATCAACAACACGTGATTAGCCTGATCACAACGTAAATATATTTCCACACCAAAACCCGACACAATTCAACAACAATGAACAATCAATAATAAGTAATTATAAGATAAGGGAATATATAACTCATCTGAAACCTGTTAGACTATCTACATGTCTGACTAAGCAGACAACCAATCATTATCATTCTCGCCCACACATCAACTGAACTAAACGTGAATCGAGAAATGAAGTGACAATGTAATCACGTTCAAGAGTTAAGAAGAATTTCATAATGTGACGAAACAGCTTTAAAGGCTATCAAATGTTAACAACTATATCTTTTACAATGCATTATTCAGGTTACTGATGCCTAATAGAAATAGTGTGATCAATATGTGAACTACTGTATAACAATTGACAAAACCAAAACCAACTTAGACTTTCATTGAACTTCAAATGTTTCGGAACATTGGAGAATAATACTTCAGTGTCTCCTAGCATTTAATTGAAGAAATTACAACTATCTATTTACTGATCTATCTATAAAAATGCTTGAGAAAATGGAATTTTGTCTTTCAAAAATTCAATGTTTCAACCCACAATGAATTGATCTAATGGAACTTTAAAGAGGAAGAATGTATTTGTAAAATCTCAGCGAAAGAATACATTCATCCTCTTTAATTTCTCACATTAACTCGGCCCCCAAGTACTGTGAAACAGTTCGACAAAATTTAGACGAAAGTTTTTAATTAATAGAATTTACGTTTTCAACAGTTAGTAAAGTAATGGGAATCCAACGTCTTTTAAAAATCACACTTTTGATTCTTAGTAAAATAAGTTGCAGCATAAATGTTATGAACATTGTTAATTCATTTGGTATAGTTTACTTGTGTCTTCCCACTGCAGTTGATCAGTCTCTTGTTGGCATATGTGCATCCTGTGTGTATTGCCCCGATATTGCCTGAAGTCACAAGCTTTATAAACAAAGATGGATAGTGGCTAGCAGTGGAATCCAGTTTGAAGCGCGTTTCGCCTTATTCGGTACTCGTCAGCTGGATGTACCTGCATCTGAGTTGACGTTCGCCCTGGGATTCGAAGCCAGTATCGTCCGTTTCGAACGCCATCACATAATCCACTTAGCTACCTAGAGACTGATCAGTTGCAGTCCTAAATAGTAGTGGGAAGATACAAGTAAAACAAGTGGCTATTACTAAGTTTTATGACGTAAAGATGTTTTTGTCAGAAAATTTAATTGCCTGTAGAATTGTTGTCAACGTTTTACGACGAAACGTCTTCATGTTAGCCAGTTGTCTAAATATCTATATATAAGATTTGAAAGATTCAGTTGAAAATACTTAGGTGTTTCATTGATTATCCAACTTATACTAAGTATAAAAACATTCCGAATAATGATGTAAACCATAGGTCAACTCACCAGTCTAACTCTTTAGTTGATTGAGCATAGATTGCAAGATGAATTCTTTTACAATATTTTATTTTGTTTAAATTTAACAAAAATTCTTTATTATAACATGGTGTTGCTGAATTTTCGACTATTTCAGTAGTTTGTTCAAATGTAACTCCTTTGTCTGGAGATGCACTTATCTGAAATCGTAGAAAAAAAAGATAGATCAACTTACCGATGTATTGACACCTATGTAATTTGCAAAGCTAATGATTACCTAAGTAAATCATTCCGGTTTAAATGTTAGTCTGTTGAAGGCGAAATTCGATCAGTAATGATGATCAGACAAACATGATATTGGTTAATATTTAATGATCAGTTGGTGAAAACATTCTTGATTAATTAATTTCATAACTTCTGGTTATTTATGGCGTTTGAATTAAAGATTCACTGGTCAGTAACCCTCAATCAGATTTCATAGAAAACTTGTTCAGCTGAAGTGAACTATCTAATCATTTAACATTTAGTGCTAAAAAATTCCATAAATTCTGATTCATATATATAAAACTAAATGTTTAAGTGTATTTCCATCATCTAAAAGTACCATTTATCAGGTGTCTTCTTCATCGATCTCGTGAATTCAAGATCATGACTTAATGAAGATATATTGTCAAAGAAAAAAGGACTATTCATAGTATTATTAAATAAATTGGAATGATCACTCCAAATAGTGTTTTATACTTATTAATTATAATCAGAGAGGGGTTGTGTGGTTATAGTAGTATCGGGATCATGGATGCACACTGCTGAGGAGAGACACAATAAGACGAAATGGCCGTCCAGTGCTTCCAGGTTTTCCGTGGTGGTCTAGCTTCAATTGACTCATGATCTCAACCATTAAAATATGTAGGTTTGCGGTTTTTTCTCATCGGATTTTGAGAAGATAATTGAAACATTTTATTCTGAACACCCGAACCGGTAAATATAACAGAATTGTAGCATAATTAGTATGAATTAGAGCATGATAGGACTGATAATTTTTTTACAATAACCATTCAAAAATACTACAGCAGTATTTAGTTGGTCAAGAAAGAATCCGATAAAAGTCGCTTACTTTCACGAAAGAGTTGCAGTTCTGACTGGTAGTAGTACGAAGTCCTTTGGCTTCAATTACTGAAATGAAAAAAAAGATATTTAAGTTACTGAGATGATAATATAAAGAATATGCTCACACAATATAGCTGTATTCTACAAGCATATTATTATAACTTTCCAATAACATAAGTAAACAACATCGTATAAAATTGGGAATGCTGGACAGCTTTGTTATCGGAGATTAGTGACTTTCTTATATTAACCACCTCTATAGGGTAGTTGAGTGTTCATCTTAAAGCTTTATAGATGTACTTTAAGTTACTGATCATTAAATTTGAATTAACAACTAGCATTTTTAATTTTATATAACCACCTCTTTACCACTCTTGAACTGATCACATATCAATGGATAAATGGCAAGTAATTTTGACTTATTATTCACTGAAGTGTTCTGATCAAGAATATATAACTCTATAGTTTTTCTTCCATTCTTCTTTGTTATTCAATCTTTCAATAAACATGTAGTAAAGTTTGTCTTTGTTCTAATCTTACTTATTGAAAATATTGAATGAATCAGCTACCCTCCTAGCTCACAAGCTTCATATATCCAAATAATTGTGTACTGTTAGTGGTTACATCTTAGTCCTATATGATGAAGAATAGTTGTAGATTTCTACACTTGGTTCTTCTCTCACTGTATCCAATTACTATATTTATGCTTCCTTTGGTTCACTTATCACAGTATTATGAAAACATTTTCTTTATTACGAAAGAATAATGCCTTTACTAACCATAACTGGATTGTTGATATGTGGCCATGAAAGCCAGAATATCTGCACATTTATTAACTCGAATGAGCTTCTAGCTTATCAGAATAAGCCGTCAGTGTTAAAAAGGTTACGTCCTATTGTAAAATTATCACGTTGAACCACAATTAGATGAATGCGTAACTTTGCCTTTTTATCCTGTCGAATCATAGTATTTTCCATGAATTTCTGCACATATGACTATAACTCAATAGCTAAGGTGAACCGATGAATAATACAGCTTTCATCATGAGGGTCATGTGCTCACAGCTTCTGCTAATGGCCAGAGATGCCAACTTCTGACGAGTCCCACGTTAAAAGTAATAAGCTTTCCGACGGTCTTCAGTTTTCAAAGGTACTTAATTACAATAAACGCTACATGCAAATTTCTTGAAAGGAAAGAAGGAGAACGGAAAGCAATTGGTATGAATATGAAGGAACAATGAAATCTCAAATGATGGACTGATATTTGCAAAAAAAACAGTCACGTTTGAGACAATTGATTGATATTTTGCAAATTAAGTATTTACTGTATGGTTCTCAGATTTTAGTAAGATGTTCTGTCGGCTTTGTCTAATAATAATTGGAACAGCTTTATAAGCATGCAATAAAAAAGGGACTTGAGTTATTATTTTTTTAATGATTAATATTTATGACGAATTGCTAAAAATATACGCAGATTGCATAGAAATAACACATCAATGGTTGTGCTGGATGAGTATTAACAAATTACAATAAATTCTAATGAGAAGCAATGAACAGTGGAGTTTAACTGAGTCTGTTGTCAGGTAGTAACTAACCGAAAACATTGGTGGATGTGTCGCTCGATTTCGTAGATTAGTTGAAGTTAGATATTTACACCGTCAAATGCCGACTCAGTGGTCTAGTGGTTAAGCGTTTACGCGTCAGATCGATAGATCCTGAGTTCAAATCTAGTGAAGAGGGATCATGGATGCGCACTGCTGAGGAGTCCCACAATAGGTCATAACGGTCGTCCAGTGCTTCCAGGTTTTCCATGATGGTTATATTACTACGATCTCTTCAAAACTTCTCTCTCGTTAAAAATATTGATTTATGTAATCTTATTTTATGATAACTATCATAGAACTAAAAATACTAATTATAACCTGTCACTTAAGTTTAAATCATCATTAATAAATGATTTAGTTAAATATTTCAAAGATAAAGGAACCTTTACACCACTTTACCTAGACAAGAAATTGAGACACTTCAAAGTCACAACTACAATCTTACTATATTTGAATATCTAACAAAAGATTAACCAGAAGTTTAACAAAAACATGAATTTACCGTGTAATTTAATTGAATGATTTTCATATTCTATATCCAATCGAAGTTTTCCTGTCAGTAAAATGAAAAGAAAAAAATGTAAGCAGTAATAAATGAAATGAAGATCTGATTAATGAACTTATGGAAAAACGTTCAGGATTCCTTTGCTTTTTCGTCACTTTGACTAAATGTCATTTCAGTCTTTTGAATGAGATAAAATCTATTCCTAAAAATATTCATCCAAACAATATATTTAACAACATCTAATCAGTCAATGACAAAACACTTGGTTCTCATTGCAACCGCAGTATCATTCAGTCACTTGACTAAAATACAGTGTTGAAAAAAATATTTCCAGTTAATTCAGCTTATGACACATAGTTTTTGCTGTTTTTTGGTAAACAACGTTCCAATATTTAACTTGGAAAGATTTAAATGTCATGCTTTTCTACAAGTAGTTCCAAATATCTATTCCAATACTGAAACTATGACCGAACGTGTCAAATTCTTATCAGTTTGCTGATTCTTATGGAAGTTCACCTTTAAACTTTACAGATATCTACACAATCATTTATCTAAAATAGAGAATTCATCTGAATAAGAATAAATGATATGAGATCATCAAAAAGCATCAAGTTGTAGACGGTGACCATCATATGACTTCGAAATTATATTCGATTGCCGAATCTATTCGAGTTTCTTCTAGCTTTCAATTAATAGTCGACTGAAGTAAATTTGGTATTGATATCTTTTTTTTTAATGTATATATAAATATCAGGTTGCTCCTTGAAAAATTATACGAGATATCGAAGCTTGATGTAAATTAAGACGGGCACTTCAAGAACTATTTCATATCAAATAACTAATTCACAATCTCAAATTAATCAATCACTGCAATCATAAACATTTAGTTTCCAGATATATTCACAATACATTTATACAAATCGATATGAAGTTGATGTGAGTTATATATCTTCAGGATCTGACATATCAAAGCAGATACTTAATTAAATTGGTCATTTACAAAATCAACAAAAACAGTCATTCTGAGATGGTTCATAAAATACTAGCCAATAGGATTATTTTAAGATTGTGTATATTCGACGGGACCACATTTCAATTGACTAACAACCTCTGTTAATAAATGTATAACTTCTTATTTTAATGTTAAACGATTAATTACCGATTAATTTAACGTATATTATCGGTAGAATTTAGCATAAACTTACTTTGACTAGTATCCCGTGTAGTATTTTTATAACTTTCTAAAACGTGAATTACAGTTTACATGTAGGATAGTTATTTTTTACTAGATTATACGACTAGTATCATGTGACAGTTTTAAGGTATTTTACCCAGTTTTAAGTTTAGAGATGGTCAACGTTTTTTATTAGTTAAATCTATTAAATTTAAATAAAACGAACAAACGGTTTAGAATTATTTATTTATTTAAACACATAAACATTGGTACAAGGAGGCAACAAAGGGGAACCGAATAGATATGCGCCACGTAAACATTCGATTTGTGTAAGGGCTGAGATACTAACGAGGTGCTCAAACAAAAAACAGGTGGCTTCCTTATGGGGCCACGCCCCGAGCCTTTGATCTAAAGGTCTGATCCACCTGGCAGTGAGGCAACGCGATGAGATGCAGTCCTATGATAGCCAGTCACCAATAATTGGTTCATAAGCCATTTATTCATTCAGCTTACTGGAGCCCATGTGCATCATTGGTTTGAATGAGGGTTTTCCAACCCCCTAGGTGGAGTCTATATGTCCACCAACTAGGTTAGAGCGCCGGACATTCGCTTTTTGTCTTCTCGATTCCGTAAACAACACCTGTGGTGTGAGAATGCAATGAGTAGAACTTTCGTTGCAGCGGTTATACGCACGTGGCCATGCGAGAGCATTTGGGGAGGGAGAGCTGACTCTCCCCACTCTCAGCCATGCCAGGTCATTATGATCAATGTTTCAATAAAGTGGAGTTTGAAAAAACTTAAGAACACAAGGCGAAGAAGAAACAACATATTTGATATAGTAGTTAAGATCAGCCAAGACTTTTATGTTGATTATAAAATCATGTAAATCTTGAAAGAAACATTTCACTTTCGAAAGAAACAGATGGATATATCGGATAGATAAACCCTACTATTTAGTGTCTGTTTATCACTTACAAATTTATCAATGTAATGAACCGTAAATATGGTTTCCTAGGAGCATGAATTATTTCCTCCGCTCCATAATGCCTAATTGGACAAAAAGGGGATAATTTAAATTAAACAACTTGTTATGCGGACAAAGCGATAGAGTGACCATGGGATTACTAGTCAGGCCTACATTAGCCGACATCTTCATAGCTAACCTTGAACAGAAGTGATTCAAATACGGAACTGAAAATATCACACTCTATTGAATGCATGTTGACACTACATTTTTTATTATCAATATAGAATTGTGGAGACTATAGAGCTTTTATTGAAATCATGAACCGATAATGTCAAACCACCACTAATAACCTGGGAGCACTGGACGGCCATTTCGTCTTAGTACGTGACTCCTCAGCAGCGAGCATCCACCATCCCGCACGCGGGATTTGAACCCAGGACCTTCGATCCCGCCTAACCTCTGAACCATTGAGCCGGCATCCAGTAGTGTTATCATCTGTTTGCATTTATTGTGATATGAATCATGTTTCAAAATTACTTTGCCACTTTAACGAATCACGTGAAATCATAAAATGTAACTATGTATTTTGAACATAATGATCAGTTTATCTATCTTGACCTGAACATAAAATGGAAAAACAATGGACATACAAAGACAATATATTCAGAAAACATATGGCGACTCACGTGCGATTGAGTTTAGTTCAGTCAAGGTCTTTTGTTGACCTATTTATTGGACAAAGTCATACATGCTATAACAACTTGTTATACTGTCATTATTATTGTGCTTGTATGAAATACATATGCTTGAACAGTGTTTAGCGCCTACGCATGTATTCATTCTGCTAGCTTCATTATTCACTGCTTAATCTATTCGCTGATATATATATATATATATATATATATATATATATATATATAGATGTGTACATTTGCACCCATCCACTACAACTACTCGCTACTGCTACTGCTACTGCTACAATCGTAGTTCACTTGCTCATCCATTTCGCCTTTTCTGTCTGGTCCGAATTATCTGCTAAATAAACTGTAGTAGCTGCTTCTTTTTGCCTTCTGATTTCAAACATCGTTGAAGATTATACGATAACGGTTCGAGGGTGATTAGTTATTGAAGCACAGCCACTAGAAACATACATAGACGGCTTTTGCCTAAACTACAAAAGATTAGTCCTCTTAGTCGCATACGCTGTTCAGTCAAAATCCCATTTGGTAGGGCTAGAAGGTTATGTTCAACTAATAAAGCAGAGGGACAAATGGGGCACCACTGAAAAATACCTCATAAAAAGTGTATATACAAAGAAACTAATAGTGAAGTACGCAAATATTCACGGAACGTGAATAACTGTTTAAAAAATATAACTTCATCCAACTTGCATTTGGAGGATATGATATTTCGGGTATAATTGATAAAAGAATGACAACGACTCTGAAGAACCTTTCCTGTAGCTCAACTAATTTCAGTATATAACACCAAATGTTCTTCAAAACAATAAAGAGTGGATCATTACCCCTGTGACCTCACCACCAAATGTATTTATGAAGTGTACTCATGGCAGCAGGTACGAAAGAAATCTTGAGAGGGCATCTACAAGGGGTTTTATTAAACATGTTCCTCGAAAGCCACGTTTAAAAAGAGGTAAAGTGTTCACAAGCGCAATCACTAGATATTTAATTGATAAGGGGCATAGAATAAGTATCACAAAGTGGTTTAAAATAAGTAGGAAATAGAGAACATGGCTTTTACTCTGCTTTGTAGAGACCATCACCATGAAGGTTTTGTCACTTGAACGTTGTATACACAGGAAAATTATGGTAAACGTTACGCTGCCATGGTAAACTAACTATATTGTTTTAACATCTGTCAGTTACATAGTCTGTTCACTTTGTTTTGTATTTAAGAGAATTCCATTGAAATTCACATGAAATGTAAGATTTAATACTATATAAGTTAGATGTATTGATCAGCATTTATTTGTTAGAAATGTCTTGTTATTTATAATATCATCCCTTTATATATATAACTTCATTTTGAACCAGATACTAATGGTCACTATTAATGATCATGTTAAATATGTTGTTTTCGCTTCTAGCTGTTTATGTTTTTCTGTGTTGTTTCGAACTGAGTTTCATTGATTCATTTATGAAAAATGTTCTTCGTAATCATAACATTACATGGTCACAATAATATTGCAAGACGTAGGAGCTGAAGATGTTATCTACAGTAACAAGTAGAGCTATACAATAAAGTCATCTGGCTCAAAAAGCTTAATACCATGATAATAAATAATTGTAACTCCAGACCTAGTATAGCTGATGAAAAGCCTTGCAATGTTATAAATTCGTTTTATTTTGTAAATCTTGTTCTTCATGTCTCATTTTAAATTTACCTAGGTATCACGGTATATGGAACTCTACTAAACGTTTGAGGTCTTTGGAGAACTCACTTATTTCAAATTATTTCCCCACTGCTGTACAGAATAAATGTAACTACAAAAGTAAATCTTCATAAGGAATATTGCAATAATTAAATACCAACTATACACTATCAAGGACATAAGGTCATAGCTGGAGATACTCGACAGGAAAGCATCATATCACCATCTTACATCTCAACATTATGCACGCAATATTGAGTCACCTAGACTAGTAACCACATTGCAATCTGATCGATAGAATTCGATCGTCACTATGAAGAACCTGACACGCATGAAATTGATCACTACCCAATCAAGGACTTATGTTATAAGAGGACGCTTGTTATTTGAAGATAATGCAGTTTATAAATAACTCAATATCATAAGTCTATTTGGTCAACAAAGAAACTTTGAAAATGTAAGGGAAACGAAAAAATACTGTTAAAATTTAACATAAATGTTTTGGTATGTTAAAT